GAGGGAAAGATAGTGTTTTCAGCAAATAGCACTAGAACACCTGCTATCTGTATATAAGAAATTACCCTCAACCCTTTATTTCCCTACATAAAAATAACTTGAAAGGATCTATGAACCTAAATATGAAAGACTAAAACTATAAAACTTTAAGAAGAAATTTTGAGGGAAAATCTATGAATTTGGGGTAGGCAAGAATTTCCTAGGATATAAAAAGCATGATGTATAAAAGAAAAAAATTGATAAATGAGATTCCATCAAAACTTAGAACTTTAAATGACATCATTAAGAAATTGAAAAGTAGTCCTTAAATAGACCATATTTATAATGCATATAACCTATGACCAGAATATATAAAAAAAACTCTTACAGCTCATTAATAGACAACCCAATTCAAATGTAGATATAAGAAGATGATAAATAGGCAATATAGCACAAGGAAAGGTGTGCAACACTAGAATCATAAAAATACTAATCTGTACAATAACAAGATTGAATTTACACTCATTAGGGAGATGAAGTCAAAAGTTTTAAAAGAACAAATGTCAGCTTAGGTGTGAACCAGTTAGAACTTTCTATTACTGCTAATGTGAATGTAAAATGACAAAACCATTTTGGAAAACAGTCTAGAAATTTCTTATATTACTGTTAAGAACCAGCAGTTCTGTTCTTAAGTGTTTGTTTGAGAGGAATGAAAACACATGTTCACAGTAGACTTGTACATACAAGTTGACTATCTCTTATCTGAAATTCTTGGGACCAGAGTGTTTCAAATTTTCATTTGAAATCCACTTGATCTGCAAAGAGGACAGCTACTCCTCCTTTTTTTTTTTCAGTTCCAGTCACATGGAGTATTGTTTTCCACCCTTTAACGTTCAGACTATGAGTTTCTTTTTGAATTAAATGTGTTTCTTGTATGCAGTGTATTGTTGGATCTTGCTTCTTGACCCATTCTGCTAGTCTATTTCTTTTGACTGGGGTGTTGAGACCATTAACATTGATGGTTATAACTCATACATATTGATTTATCATTGTCATGACTTTTTCTGTTTGTTGGATTCTCCCCCTTTGCATTTAATTTCTTGTCCCACCTGACAGATTCATTCTGCTGGGCTTCCTGGGGTTGTGATCCTCATTGTCTTTTCCTAGGATATTGTCTAAATGTTTTTGGAGTGCTGATTTGGTGTTCATGAAGTTCCTAAGGTGCTCTTTGTCATGAAAGTATCTTATTTCTCCATCAATTTTGAAAGATAATTTTGCAGGGTACATTGATCTCTGCTCAGTTGGAGGGCATTTTCTTTTAGGGCTTGGAATACATCACTCCAAGCTCTTCTTGCCTTGAGGGTTTGCATGGAGAAGTCTGCTGTGATTCTGATGGGCTTTCCTTTGTATGTGATTTGTTTCTTTTCTCAAAGAGCTTGTAGAATTTTGTTCTTCTGTTGGGTTCCAGGAATCTTAACTATTATATGCCTATGTGTAGATTTTTTTGACCAAGGCTAGCTGGAGTCCTATATGCCTCACTTATCTGTATGTCAAGTTCTTTTCCCCTACTTGGGAAGTTTTCTGCCATCATTTCTGTGAAGGATTTTTTTTTTTG